CATTTATTGTCCGGTGAGAACTGTGTGAGGAAACAACATGCAACTAACTCCTTCTTACTAACATTTCATCCCTGAAACATCTGTTAGCTAACTGGGTTTTTTCCACCTCCTTGCATCATCCTTTGTGCAGAAAACCTCATTGTCTCTGTTTCACTGGTTTCCAGACTGTTCTGTTTATTGTGAACAACAGAATTTCCCAAGGAATATTTCTAAAAAAACAGATTGCTTTACAGTGCAACAAGTGATTCACTTTATTTGGTCTTAGCTTGCACTGATTGATTCATAGAAATTTCTTTTGAACAACCATGGCTTTCTATAACATTTATAGAAACATCTATAGCAACTACAGCACTCTTGTCCTCATGAAGTCTCAGAGCACTCCCAAATACAAATATACAAAACATAATATTAATAGAGATATCCAATTGGCTTTAATTTAATGACTTCAATTTTGTGCTCATAATCTTGGGAATTGAAGTGCCAAATTTTATTTTCAAAAATAAAGTTTATTATTATTACCTAGAAAAGTAAAACTTCATAAGACCATCATTTTGTTTGTAAAGTCATCTGTTCAGAGGTAAAGAAATCCCAGATGAAAGCTTGTTGTGCAGCTGCAACAGTCTGCTTTATTTTACCTAATGACTGTCTAATGTGAGGTACTTAAAAGGCCTGCAACAGAAGCTGTTCTATTAATTTTTAATCATTTTACTGCAAAAATGTACACTTATATTAGATCTGTGTTAGAAAAGCTTAGTCACAGGATTTCAAAAGTGATCCTGCATCAGAGAAGGGAGTAGTCTGGTGGCAAATTCATCTGCGTTTGGTTGCATATTGCTCACAGGTCATCATTCCCCAAACCACCTATCTGGCACCAAAGCCAGTCTAAGAAGAACCCTGCAATCTCGTACCCTTGGCTGCTTGTTCCGGCCGCTCGGCTCTGCTGTTAGAATGATTTGTAGGGCTCTTGCAAACCAGATGACCAAAGTACTTCAGTCTACAAAGCAGCCTTTCAGTCACAATGGCACAAATGAGGGACAGTGAACAGCAGTGTGGCTATAGAGGAGAAAGGGAACATTTTCAGCTTGTTTTTCCATTATAGAAAGTGTAATGTCAAACCGTACCCACAGGCTGAGGGGAATTTTAGCACAGGATTTGTACATCACAGATGAATGCCCTAACCAAAGAATATCAGATGAGAGAGTCCCTTGAATTCTTGTGTTGGAAAAGAAAAACGTGACCTTTTTTTTTTGTTGAGAAAAGATAAAGGTTTGGCACCTGCCTTCTGGTTAAGAATTTGAATTCTGAATCTGAAACAGAGAGAAACGTCTCCCAGGAAGCAGCAGTAAGGGAGCATTCAAAGCTTATCCCTGGATCTTTTCCCTTCATTTGCTTTTTCTTTTTTTTTCTTTTAATTTAGCTGAGTACTGCAAGATTTCTCTTAGAAGTTGTGATCGATCTGCTTATGTGTACATCAGTCACTGCTGTTACTAGGAAACCATTGGGTTTTTCCTCTAAAGAATTGCTATAAATAAGCACCATGTCATGAAATAAGATCAAGATCCTTGCATGTACTGCCTCTGCTTTCAACATAATTAAGATCAGGAAAAATCTAATTTTGGTGTAATTTGCCAAGTTATATTAAATTATCTTGATGAATCATTCATACCTAATTGCTTTGGACTACAGCTTCATTGCATTGTATGATCCTGAGAGTAAATTTAAACAAAGGATGAAGTAGTCTGAATAATACCTTTCCAAGGTCCTGTCCTAGAACAGGAAAAAACCAAAACATTTCCTATGTAAGCCACAGGAAAAAAATACCCTAATTCTACTTGTGTCTTCAGGTCACGAAGTATATGTTAATCAAATTCCTCTTATGCTGACTACAGAAGAACTGTAGAGAAGAGTTCTGTATTCTTGAAAACAGCTGTGGTTCCAAAGAGCTGCAAAATCCATGAACAGTGTTCTTGTTCTTCTCTCTTAACCTTTTAAGATCCAAATATGACACAGAAAATACTACTGAAGCAGGAAGCTTAGAAAGCTGTGGAACTTAAATTCTTTACTGAAAAAACTTTCCTGTATCTTTAATTTCAAAATCCTTACTGCTGACATAAAGTGTAACTGTGGAGACACTGCAGTACCTAAGGCTCCATAAGGCTGATCAGCTGTACGAGTATTAAAATAACATTTAATACAAATGCAAATAAAATAGTCCATTATCATTTAGAATTTCCAGTATGAGCTATACTAATTTTTTTAAAAAAAGCTGAACAAAAACCTAAATTTTTGAAAATTGCTACTTAGAAATCTTAAACCAACTGGGAACCATTGGACTATTTCATTGTTTTAACGCCATGATTTTTTGATTAATTTTATTTAAATATATTAACATAGTTTATTGTTTTAAAAAAATATAAGTTGAGAGTAAAATATATTGCATAGAGCCATTCTTTCCTAAATTCACAAATTCTCTGTTACCCATAGCTTTCTCATTTCATTTGAACCAATGTTGTCTGTTCTTTTTGGTATTATTTCCATCGTTTGAGGTCACTGTTCGGCTTAAGCCTCAACCAAGTTTGGCTCTCTCGAGTGTGTATTTTAATCTTTTGGATCTGAGTCTGTCTCTCTCACTGTCTGAATACATATCCTAGCAGTCAGGGAAGAAGACGTCACTTATCCTTATTAACCCCTTTGGTTACAGAATGACTAAAATCAGACCTGTTGTGAGATTTAGCAGCTACAGATTTTCTTTTAAAGAACAGTAAGGGATGTGCTAGCAGTTGAGGCATACATCCAGGTAATGGAAGACCTGAATTCAATTTCCTATTAAACCTTAATACTTTCAAATTCATCTTCTATATTCTAAAAGACTACCTTGATACCTTCACTAGAAATTAGTTTAGTAGGGGTACTCTTCATCACTGTATTAAAGCTGCAGTGTTCTATAGAAGTTAATTCAAAATTAATTGTATGAGATACAGCACATGATACAAATAGGCCTGAGTTTAGGAAACTCCCTTGGTTGACAAATGTCTTTGCTCCTGCTCGTCATCATAGGGACTGTTTATGTGTTTTACTTTTTGGGAAAAAAAAAGCATAAAGAGAATGGAGGAAAATGGTACCTTGACATATTTTCTTTATCTTTATTAGAAAGAAAGAGAAAAAATTCACATAGCCAATCACATGGCTGGATTAGCAGTTCCCTATGGCCCTTAAAATATGTGTAATTCTAGCTTCTGGGTAAAAAGGAACCAAACCTTACACCCTCAGAAGGAAAAATCCCAGATTTGTAACACAAAATAAAACCTACAATCATGCAACTTTCTATGTTTAGTTTTGAATTAAATTTTAAGAAATCTAAGAGTAATTGTGATGCAAATCCTAAATAAAAGTAAAAATATATGAAGACCTCACTTAATATAATGGTTAAAAGTCTCTCAGAGCAATAAAACATTTAAGACTATTCTCAAACAAAGTATTATCACTTCTTTTGCTTTGCAGCTCAGACCTCACAACCACCATACATTTTGATTGTTTAATGCAAAAGCTTCTTGAAGCAGAAAACATTTAAACCTGGCATCTCAGTCAGGTTTTGATAGCTAATGTGAATTTGACCCAGTGAATGAATAGTAAAAATACAGATACAAAATTCATCCTGCTTGGTCGTGCTATGCAAGGGATTTTTATGATTACTAAGGTGCCACCGGGAATCCAGTCTTTAGTTTTATTGTCTCCAGTGTCACTGAGGTGTACCTTTTATTGTATTTTTCATTTAGTTGGGATTGTTTTCTCTCTTGGTCTCAGTATTGCTCCAATAGACTCATCTTCAAGTGGATCATGACTTTTTTTCATCAAGCAGTCAGTCACATGTTATAGCCAAACTTTTCCAAATACAGGTTAGGACAAAGTTTTACCAAATCCAGTGAACACCATTCTTTGTTCCAGCACTACTGGAACAGTCTAGAAAGCTGCTAGCTGTATTGAAACATTTCAACATGAGCTGAATTCTTCAGTGGTTGTGTATATACTAAATTACAGCTATTCTTTAATATCTCTGTAGTTGAAGGAAAAATATGATTTTGCATTTCTACATATAATACCTGTATTAAAGATATTTCTAAAAGCGTTATCCAAAACCATTTTAAATCCAGGCTTCAATACACATTTCCAAGAAACGGAAAATATACATTGCATGAAGATGCACACTCTGGAAATTAACTTTTTGTTACTAATTAAATCTCAATTTAAAAGGGAATTTTGAGATGTGAAAATGATCAGGTTACAGAATCAAGTCACAGGAATTGTCTTCTGCTCTTGGTCGTTGGCCGTTTAATGGCTTTTCACACATGGTTTACCATCTCGCTGGCTGTGAGTGAACAAGCCATGGTTATATGAGATTCATAAGCCCACCTGAGAAAACATCTTGCACAACCTCTTCCCAATGGGTGTTCTGCCACGTGGACCATATCCCACCTCCAGTTCATTCTGAAATGGTGATGATGCTGTATTTACCTGATAAACTGGCACCGTATTTGAAAGCCAGTAGACACGTGAAGTGGCATTTGTGCCAAAAATCCCATTGAAACCACTGGCATTTCTTCTACCACGTAAGCAGGGCTTCAGATAAAAAAGAGGTACATTAGTTCTTTGTCAGCTCAGACGAACACATATAACAGAGATTTATAGAGTAGCAAATATACCGGTATGATATTATGCAATTTAAAAAAGAAAAAATCCTAAATTATGCCTGAATTGGGTCTGGGACCTTCTGCCTTCGCTGGGCATCCATCACCCACTTGTGCCCTCAGACATGGACAAAACCAACCTCTGCAGCCCCAGAAGGGCCCAGTGTGACATGTCTGCTCTCCGGGCACCCTGGCACCGTGAGGCAGTACGCAGTCAGCCCATCCGGGTCCACATCCATGGCAAAAGGCTTCAAGTAAATTAGAATTAAATTAAAGCCCAGTTACATCTTTGGTGTCCTTGTCCCCACCCCGCAGGTCACAGCCTCGGCTCGGCGAAGGTGTCCCGGGCGCAGACGTTCCCCAGCTGCCCCTCGGAGCAGGGCGCGGAGCACCAGCAGCCCCTCTCGCTTGCCAGCAGCTACACCTTCAGCTACGGCTCCGGGCCGGGTACACAGCACCCGCGGGGGGGCCGCCTACCAGCTCCAGCCGTGTCACCGCCAATGCAGAAGCCTGGGGAGGCGGCTTCCCCAAAGCAGAGGCTAAGTCATTATTTACTTATTTTGCCATTCCTTTTGTCCATACGTTCAGGAAGGGGGGTGGGGGGACACATGGGGACACGTTCGTGTTGTGAGAAAGTGGTGGAAACAAACGAAACTGTGTTGGTGTGAAGGTTTCTGCATGACTGGAGAAGGCCCGTTCTGGGGCTCCATTGCGATGGTGCATTTGACATCGGGGCCTTCTTATGCACCTCCACCAGCAGGCCGGTCCATCTTCACCTGTAGTGTTTTTAGGTCCTTGCCACAGCCCACTGGTTCCCACTGGAGTCGCTGAAATATCGCCGATTCAAGGTGCAGCATCAGCACTGCGGGAGTCACCTTCAGATCGAAGCGCGTTCACTCATTACCCTGGAGGTGGTCGGGTGATTTCTGAGCCAGACGCCACTGATACTGGCATAGCAGGCTAATATGATTTGTTGGGAACAGATTTTGATGTGTTAAGGTAAGGTTATTGCCTGGTAGACCTCTAATCTTAAAACCAGGGCACAAAATTATCCCTTACTAATACACGTGTAATTCTCAAAATGCCCTTGAGAGCTGTGAACGTCCATATCAGCAGCACAGTCTTGTCCTCAGAACTGCCGTGAAGTCATCTTATTTGCAAATTATTTAGATAACCATGCCTGCAAGCCTAACTTCAAAAAGCAGGAAAACTGTCCTTCAGACAAATAAAAGTGGGCCGCATCCCCAGCTGGCAACCGCCTGTGCCATGCTGGGCCAGACACAGTAGATCTGAGCTCTGGTCTTGTCCTTCTGGTCAGCATCACTTTTATTTTCTCTGTTTCCTTCTCAGATTTTTGTTTTAGATGCACAATGTATCTTGTATGATCATGAGTCAAGCACCAGTTTACTTTGAAAAGGACTATGAGTACCTCTCAAAGGAAATTTTCTGTCTTTGAAAGACGTCTTTAAAAAATGAACTGTAGTAGGTATGTGTTTGTAATCAGTAATGCGGGAGTAAGTTGGAAGGCATACCTGTGGGTGGGGAACAAGTTTTACCTATCCTGAACATTTAGATTTTTGTAGGTGGTATCGAATATTTATGTACTTCTCGCAATGCCCTGAAATGTTTGAAATTGTGAGGAGAAAAATTTGCCCTCTTGCTGTGGTCTGCACAGCCTCGTGTTCTGTTCCCATCGTGAAACAATTGCCATGATTACCAGACTGATTCGTCTCATAAGATGTTTCTCAGGACAGGTTGACGAAACGTATCAAGGAGGAGACGCATAGACTCTTTTCCAATGAAAGAATCAGTTTTACGTACCATAATTTAACTGAAAAAGTGCTGTTGGGTTGGTTTATGTGTGCACATATATATATATGTATTAAAAAGTACAGAAGTACCTTCTGCTTTTGATTGAACACTTACTGATACAATATGTCCAGATTTTCTCCAACCATTTTCCAGGCTATGAGGCCTTGCAGACTTACATCTTTCTACACTTCAGTGAACAGCTGCTGAATAACAAACCTTTGTGATCCGCTTGAATGAAGCACTTCTACCCCACCACAAATCAGCTTTATTTATTTTCCCTCTTTTTCCCTGTCTCATTCACTACCTCTTTTCCTTCTCACAGTGCTGCCATACTCAGGTATAAAACGGCTCCCTACAGAGATTATTTTGATGAGCTAAAATGAAAAACTGCTCTCCCATGCTGTCAGGGAGCTGCACCTATGGTGCCCTCTGAGCTGTACCCATCAAGGAATCTTCATTCACACTTTCATTTAAGAAAAAAATTTGGTTGACATTTTGATTTGAGAAAATTTCCAGTTTGGAAATGTTACATGCAAAATGTGATACAAAGGGATAGATACTCTGCTTGTGTAATTCCGTTATTCAGTGCAGCTTTGCCATATATACACCTTTTGAATAACTGGCCAGCTATTTTTATTCTTATGCAACTGCGGCTCTTTCACTTGCCCTACAATGCAGATTTCTGTGCTGTGTCCATGTAACTATTTTCCTCTGTGACTTGAATACTAGTCTTTTAATAGTTATATATTCTATGTAGTCCAAAAGTGGGGAAAAGGAATAAGAGGAGAGTATCAGAACTGCTTTACAGTTCCAGTGCCCATATACTTTAAGGACCTATCTAAATCCTAAAGCTAGTGCTTTAGCTGTGTTTAGGTAAAAAGTATAAGATCTTTATAGGGTGCTCTTTCCGTTGCCTGAGGAACGATTGCTGTCTGTCACAGATGGTTTTGTCTTCCTACCTAGTGCATGAATCTTATCTAGTTAATAAAAATGTAGATGCTATTTCCAAACAAAACGGCAAAAAAAGGGAGGGAAAAGGGGTATTGGCCATGTATAGGAGTTTTACCAAATATTTTGGTTTAATTACATAGGGTACCTATCCTCTCAACTCATATATCTATAAACATCTGTGGAGTCCCATCTTGCAGCAATAGACAGAAAACTGAACTCCAGGACAAAGCTGGAGGAAGCAACCAACAAAAAGCAAACTTGACCTGTTGGGAATCGATTTCTTGTAGGCAGTAAACACAACCACACTGGAAGTTGAAAATAAGGATGTAACTTCACAGTGTACTGTAACACAATCTAAGAAAACTACGCACATGAAGCACAAAAGTATTCAGCAGCCAGTGGATGTTGCCATTACTGCCACTGCAGACCAGCAGATATCACTGTAACATTTGTGTATTCGCATAGCTACCAGAAGTGCTCCTCAGAGAAGCTCCATGAGAACCAGGCAGCCACTAGGCCAACAGTTTTCCAGAAAATTCTGCTTTCACAGAATAGCTTTAATTCCTGGTATATGCCTGTCGATAATCTAAGTGACTCCCCACTGAGACTACTTTGCACAGTTCCTAGTGCTTCTGCCAGAAGTAAAAATCTCTTTTAGCACACGTGGTAGAGCTGCCTGCCTAGAGACTACAAGAGCCTTTAAATAGGCCCAGGGACTCCATGCGTCCCTATTCAAGTCTCGGCTTTCTTCATGTGCAAGGCACAGGGTTAGTAACTCTACTCCTGACCCAAGAGCAGCTCTCTGTTTTCAGCTAATGAGCTGTGAAGAGATGGAGGGCAACAAAATATCCTCAATGGTAACCAGGTGAAACTGGTGTGAATGGAACTTAGTACATTATCAAATAGAAAAAATAATGCAAGGCTGTTGCTTTCATTTTGGTTCTGAGGATGTGTTATGAATATATAACTGTAACCATGATTTAAATTTTTTTTTAAAATTACCCTTGATAACATATTCACTGCTATGAACAAATAACACCTGGCATTACTATAGTTACTAATATATCTTAACTGTGAATATTATAGATTGATGCATGTTAGTACTTCTGATTTTCAAGTCACTTGATGCAGAAAAGGAGACATTGAAGGAGACTGATAATAAATCATCAAATGGTGCTAAGGTACTTGAGTGGCCCCATATTTTAAACAGCTACATCTTATTATTGATTGCTTAAATCACCTGTGAGTATACTGCTTTGAAAAATTTTGCCTGCCTATGCAAAGGAAGAAGAAAGAAGAATATCTTTCAACATGGAGTTGACTGCCTTACTAAGTAAATGTTTAGGTTTTTCTTTCTGTGGTAGGCTCAGATTCCAGCTCCTCACATGTATCAGGTCCATGCAAAATTCTGTTCTTGGGAGTTTTTTGTTTTAGCTTTTTTTCCCCTAAAGCTAGCGAGTAAAGCTTGGAAATGTATTGACAAACCAAAGATGTTTGTTGGACAGCAACAATAGCAGCTGCCTTTTGTTATGACAAAAGTCTGTCATGACATTTTGGGAAAATACTTCTTTTCACAACATGTGAATAGAAATCCTGTTGGGAAGCAGCAAACACATTTCTAATCGAGTCTTATTCTAATCTAATAAGACTTTGCTGGAGGAGGGGTTGAAATTGAATACCTGAGGTCAAAAGTCTTTCAAAGTGCTCTCTATAGCAATAATTTAAGTACAATATACAGCCTTTAGAAGTTGTTAAGAGCAGGCAGTCTGTGAAGACCCTTAGCTGTTCATGGCAAAGAGAAAAAAAAGAGCATTACTCAGATGTCTGTATTGCATTTATCAGAAAAGGAATGAACTTCATGCTTGTTCAGCTCTCCAGCCTAATAGGCAATACTATGAGGAGCAGTGAATTTTGAGATATTTGATTTCTAGGAACTGACAAAGAGCATCACCCTGTAGCGTATAAACCTTTACTCACACTCAGATTACCAGCCACATTTACTAGTTTTCATATGGTAATCTGGAAAATGTAGGGTAGTTCCCCATGAGAAAGTATAAGTCTCTTGAATAGCTATGCTTTTTAGTATGAAATACAGCATTATTTACAACAGTTTCTTCCTAAAAAGGAAGGCAGAAGGTGTTCCAATTAATCTCTTTTTTAGTGTTTAATATCAGTGTATTTTAGCTCCTTTTTATACCTGCTGCAAAGGAATAAATGTAGCTTTTATCCACATACGGAATAGAACGGACTGTGGGGGAAGTGTGAAAAGCTGCTTTTTGATTACCAAAACAGATCCAACAGCACTGGAAAGTTTCATTTTTTCATACATTGTCCAAATATTTGTGACTCTTTCCAAACCAAATTGTTACACAACCTGTATATATTAGAATCTTGTGTTTTTCACCACAGACAACTGAGGATGCCTGCTTGTGGTTTTTTAAGTAGAAGATTATGACTGTACAACACCATTGTACTGGTAGAACTTTAAAATCAAAAGGGTGTAAAGTTGGATATATTCATTCTGCAGATATAGATTCTTGCACTCCATGAAGTGAGCTGTGTTTGTTCTTGATATTGTAAATAAATGATCTTCACTTTTGATTTTAGATTAAAAGATGTGTTATATTGGAAAAAAAGTAGAGGCATACTTTGGAATGGAAGAAATAGCAAAGAATATTGACTGACTAACCTGTTTTGAGAAGAAGTTTGTCTCTCTGTCCAGGCCCTTAGGAGAGAGTGAAAGGTGATAGGTGAAGGTGCTGTGTATTCAGCATTATTTAAAAGGCATTATGCTTAGAAACCTAATTATCAGAATCCACAGGTGAACTGGTTCAATTGAAGAAAATGGAAGTTTCACTTTGCAAAAATGATTTTTGCCTCTTGGCATGTATATGCAGCTTTATGGATATGGTTAAAGCAGATACGAAAGTAAGTGAGGTTTAAGTATGATTACTTAGAATTAAAGCATTTTAAAAATGTCAGTATTGTTATGGATATTGCAAGTTGTAATGGCGAAAAGATTTTCTTTTTAACTAAATGCAAGCTCAGAATCTAATATGCTTTCTAAAATGGAGTTAATCTTTTTAATCTCACACTGAAAGTCCCAAAGAATGGGTCTCATTGTGTTTTTTCCGTGAGTACAGAAATCCTCATGAGGTTAAATAGATTTACCACATTCTCTTATAATCCTGGGATTGTTAA